GGAATACAGATTGCAATTAGATGCTTCATTGTTGAACCTCAAGTCCACTGAGATTCCACGGATTTCTGTCCCTTTTTTCTCTCTTATGCTCACTTGGACTTTTCGGACACCACTGGCACAAATGACTGATAAACTGAAGAGAAAAAATTAATTAGAAAGATGGCTTATTTCACTCGTGTTATTTTCGTACACTTCCTACTATTGTAACGACGAAGTTCGCACACACAATGTTGGCTCAGATCACTGTGTATATATTAGACATATGGATCGAGAACAATTGTTGTCCATGGTTTCTCGATTGTTTTTCTTCGTTGAAATGTACCGTGTAATCATATTTTGATGACCACGGGGTGAGTAATTCCAATTTGTGTTAACTATTTGTTGTCAACTCTTTTTGTCTTTCATTGTTGTTTGAGAGATGCACCTGTTCTCACGTAGTTCCATCTCAAACAACTATCCCTGGTTTTGCATAGAATCAATTTGCACGCATGCGTGAGCATTGTTATGTGGATTTATTCAACCGTGCACACAATTTTACCCCATACTACACATTTGTTTGTGAGTGAAATGGATTTCCGCTCCTTCTAATGGGATTAATGGTTCTATCCAATATGGGATTAATTAGTTCTAATATTTCCTTCCGAATTTTCAAGCGTAAGGAAAGATCCAACGGTAAACTGGGACAGCTAAGGAATTTTTATCTAGGTTATCCTTGGGGTTCAAAATTCACACGACTGTATTTTCGCTGAGAGTGTTCTCGTAAAATGTGATTGAAAATCGGTTACATATATATACTAACTACCATGTCAGTATCCTAGTTTTTATTTCTGTCTTTTTGTTCCGCGTTTGATTTACTAATAAAGAACGGTGTCAAATAACTAATTAGTGGAGAACTGCATCAAGATACAGATGCGTAATTAAGTAGATACACGAGCGATACGGTTTACTACCCATTCTCTGATCTCACCTAAGATCACTAACCGATGATAAGGCTACTTCGGATATCTTCAACCTAGAAGCTTGGTGCAGTCAGTCTAACTGAATTCCGTGGTCGTGTTAGGTCATAGTCTGATCAGCTACAACCTCTTTCTAACTATCATTTTCCCCGATAATGATCAAGTGACGACGAAGTTCATCGGGTTTTTTACTTGACACGTACCTCACACATGGCAACATGTGAAATTCCATTACCTGCTTTAGTGTGCAACCGCAGTTATCCAATACTCACGGTCTAACCTCCACTACACTTGTTGGCATGCGGATGAGATGGCACCGTTCAAACACCACGTTTTATTGTAATATTCAGAACAGGCTACAACATAACAATCATTATAATAATTATAAGATGATTCCGTTGAGTAAAACATAGCTCATGGAGGACAGTCAACATGACAATAGCGGTCATTGGTTGAGCAAGAGAGTTATGTGTGTGTGTGTGTGTGTGAAAAGTCCTAGGTTTGATTGTATTTTTTATAATAATTTTCTGGTGAACAATAAGAATAGTTATGCTTACATTTGTAAGTTCAGTAGAGTATAGTTTTGCCGTTTCTATTGAATGAGAGCAAAAGTACAGTAGGTCAAGTAGGTGTAATGTGTGCGTTGACTTTAATGAGTTGCTTACTCGTTCACTCGGATTCAGTTTCTTTGGACAAACTCTGTGTTCCGGTCATCGAGGTTAATAAAGGAGCACTTGCCAGCTGGATTAGCCCTGAAACCCAATCCATCACAAAGAATTTTTCCTACTCAGTGATACGTTCGCTATGTGTGACTCGTAAAATTGATGTCGCATTTCTGCTTAAGACTGAAAACTATTGTTGGGTGAATTGCCTTTGAAAAACGGGTTGCAAAGACTTGGCGGGATCACCTATTCCTCTACCGGAGATTAGTCATTCAGTTTTCAACTATGCTTGAACCATTCGCATGTTGCCGGAGGTTTCTAATTTTAGGTTTGGTAGCAAAGCATTAATGCAACGCATTCAAATGGGAATAAACTAGACGAGGAGCAATTGCGAAATTGAGGGCTCAGTTGGTAGGCACAGGTTTGGAGCCCACCATGATTTGAAAGAGCATCAATAGGCAATCGTCTGCATTACCCAATTCCTCAGCACAGCAATCGATCCTGGATGTTTGGCTGTTTGTGCACTCTAAGTAATGGAAAAAGTATCGATTCTGTTCAAAAATGGATGTGCAAAGTGTGCAACCATTTTCCCATGTGATACGGGATACCAATATCAGACATAACTTTGTAAGTTTATTGGGAAAGATACGAAACTTGTCAGCATGGAATGTTGTTGTTAGTCTAGGAGACCAGTTAACCCAGAAGGATTAATACGACCGATCGGCCGTTCCAAGAGAAATGGATTTTATGATCGTTCTAACGATAACTGAGGCTAACTGGTAGTAGAGATTTAGCGAATCATCTAAATGTGGATTTGTTCCTCGGCTCACATACTCATCAATGTTTCATCACTCTTCTTGACGAGAAGCTTGTCCATAGAGGAGAACTGAGATCGGTGCATGCATACAGTACTGGCAGTGTGTGTGTTAAATGATTACTGACAAGTTGTGTGGCACTTATTTGCTGACTACGGTCCTCAAACCTTTGAAAAACTTCCAAAATGCGTTCCTTGTGTTTGGTATATATATATCTCCCACACACAGTACACCTGATAATCAAAGTCGGTCATTTTGGGGAGCAATTTTTTTGATGATCTGTAAAATGCCACCGTTTTAGTTGAGAATTTCGTGCGAGCAGGCTCCACATTTGATCGACTCGAGGTTAATCGTTTTCGAGAAATGGCAGTGTCTCACTAATCAGAGCATATGACATGAACGAATCTTAAATGGCATATACTGTCACGATAACCCCTCCGAATCTCACAGCTGAATTCAAAAGCATGTGGTTTCATGAGAGTCCGTTTACACAGCATATGAAGATCATTGCTATAGCATGAGTGCGGAACAGGTTACACACTTAATGCTCATGTTCAATTCACCAATTGAAATTACCATTTAGTTCAGTGGTCAATCCACTTCACATATAGGCTCAGTGTACGCAAGACAGAGAGGCAGATAGAACAATGTAAAGAGTGCGATGGTCGGAAAACCATTGAAGTCTGTTTGCATTACCTAACCCAAAGGCGAGCCTTTTAATAGTAACGTTCATAGCCTGATGGTAAAGCTCACCACTCCAGAGGATGTGTTCGAATCTCGCTACCACTGCCGCCAAACTTTCCCCATTGTGTGTTGCACGGCAGCCCTTTGTAAGGGCTACTTCCTTCCTGTTCCTGAAAATTGTATCATTGTATATTCAATAGAAGGAAGTAAAAGTGAAAAAAGACAGAAAAAGCAAAGATGCTACAAACATTTGCATCTGATATTGCCGGTTACTGAAGGAGTTTGAAAACTCACATTTCTAATTTCCCAAGAATAGGCGTAAAAACTGGCTACAGGACTAGTAGTTTGAAAGATGATCGCTGGATGAATTAGACAGTAGTGTCTTGTGAACCCTTGACGAGTGAATCACATCTTAGAGAAGTGCACTTCGTAATTGCTTTGAGGAAACTATGGTATTCCTACACCACTCTACTGCTTTTCTATCATGGTATCTCGTAGCTGTTCCGGTTGTGAATCTCACTTGGTTTGGTCTGGACAAGCTCGTAACATTCCGCCTAAAAGTAAATCATGAAGATAATTTCTCTGCGTTATCAGGAAGATAATAATGTGTTTCAGTCTGACCACAGAGTGAGTACATGATGGTTGATCACCGGAATTCCCGAATTCTGATGACTAGTAAGTAATTGGTCAAATGGGGATATAACATATTTTTCTGGTGACCTCATTTAGAATGAAATGCAAACGTCGGTCTGAATACAAAGCTCTCTGTATGACGCAGACAGTTAGTCCCTATTTACGAGGTACAAAAGATGAAGCGCAAAATTTATTCCGGTTGCAAAAATAGGCCATGCGATTCTCGGTCGTAAAATTGAATGGGGAGAAATCCACTTTCATATTGCCAGAAATATAGCTATTTTTCATTAGGAAAGAATTGATCGACCAAAAGGTAAATGTTTCTACTGACCTGTAACAGATGAGCAATCTCACTCTTGCCCTTGGAGGAACGGTAGAAAAATTCAAGATTTGAAATCAAAAATATGTTAAAAATTCGACTCATATATTAAGACAATGGAGGCGATAGAATACGAAAAGTTCACGGAGAGTAGAACTGTACGCTGTTTGGTTGCGGATAGAAGACTTAGCTGACTAACCATAAACAGTTGAGCATTTCGTTGCGGAACAAGTAGTCGCGAACGATCAAAGGGCAAAAATGCGATAGATTTTCACCGGTTAAGCAAGTTTACTGCGACGGAAACCTATTATTGCTAGTGAAAAGCATCTGGTCCGCCCAAAAGTAAGTCTGTCATCATTAATCTGTTGCCCTATAATCAGTACAAGGACGGGAGTTGCATGATTAAAAACGCCAAGAGTGCTATTTCGTAGTCCACTCCCTAGAACATTTGAGTATTTCCTTCACGCGCCCGACTCATCTTCACACAGAAGCAGGCTGATAAAAATTTAAAAAATCTATAAAGTCTCTTGGTTTGAACACTGTACATATATTTGGGAAATCTTCACGATTCGTTTATGCATGATCACTTACAATACACCAATTGCCGGACCGTATCACAGCACATTCACCATTGGCTACGACACACAAGTTTCAGTTTGTACATACATTAAGCATGCACTATCGTGTTTTATCTTCACCACTCTCCAGAGATCTCAGACGTATAGAGAGCAAAAAGCTGTTGTACTACATCCTTACCAAATTGCATGAAAAACCCGTCATGTTTTCATTTCTGTATGTCACTGTTCGAATAATTGCACATTCTACACAATATCCCTTAATCACATCCACCATATCTTTCCGATTCGGATTCAGAGTCAATCTTCCTCGTCAGTACCATCGTGTTTTCACTTTTTTGTTTCATCTAATCTAGGCACAAATACAACTTCACAATTCTATTCTGGACGTGAACAAGAGTGCGGACCGATTGGAAAGATGCGTTGTCGAGTTCGAGGCACGAAGATTGAAAGGACTCAAGGTATGAGTGCATATCTCTTTTTTGTTTATCACCTGCACGTACCTTACTCTTCGATTAACGGAATTATAGCTATCTCATTTGCAACGCAACATTTATTCTGAACGGGTTCTTGTTTTCAGCTTTGGTAAAATAAAACAACATTGAACGTAGAATTGTGTGTACAACTCTCGCCAACGTCCTGTTTATCGTTAAGCCTCGTCGTAGATCAGTGGATGCCGGTCACTTAGCTCCCAAAGGTCTCTCCCGGTTATGTAGTAGTGGTATAAGAAAGACTGCCTTGAGAAACCGTCTTGTACAGTGCTGTGAGGTACTAATAACAGTTATGAGCAGTAGGCAAAAGGATGCGATTGGCAATTTCCTTCAACGGTCAAAACTGAACGGGACCTGTTCGAGCGAATTGTTGTGTTTAGTATGGTAACCACAGGAATGCGCATCTACTGCTGGATCGTTCCATTAACTATCCTGTGTGCGTGTGGGAATTCTGGAAACTCGTTTCAAATGTGATATTGTTGTGTGAATGCCAAATTACCGATCCCCTAACAGTTATTCATAATAAACGACTATCCTCGTCGTGGATCTGGCGGGGATAGGGTCGGACCGGGGTAAGTTGACGGCCCCCCGAGCGCTTT